GAATATTTCTAAACAAATGGTAAAGATAATTGGAATCCTCGAGAACCAAGGGTTTAAATTACGGGAACCACTCACTATTTTAAGAAAATACAAAATAACAGTAACTCCGAATAACATTTTGATTTTTAATCGACGTTTCGACTAGTTTCTAGTCATCCTCAGGATTAAGAAATTGTATTTTCTGCATATTTTGAAAACACTATTCTCCAAAGAGTAGTTGTTTCCCCTTGCAAAAAAGACGAATTGATTGCAAGAAACATGATACAAATCAAACAATTCTGTTGTTTAATACCTTCATACACCAATGTCGTTCCAGTAATATTAGGACAGGTCGTTTTCCCCCACCGGATGTAAGTCACCCCAACATTTGCACAAGATTCCTTGGCAGAAGATTCCTTGGGATCTTGAGGTAAACCTGTCAGGATATCAATATAGCAGACAGTAAGTGCTACAAAGCAGTTTCCTCGTACACCATTTACATATTGAATTAGACTTACACCCGTATTCTAAAAGCTCACTCACACTCAATGAGTGGAGGTTCAATCTGAGCTTCCCTTGAGTGTCAATGCTGGTTTTGAATAGCTGGAGGGTTAGTGTCGTACCTTACTATGTGACTACTCGCCCTCCAGCTATTCAAAAACAGCATTGACACTCAAGAGAAGCTCAGATTGAACCTCCACTCATTGAGTGTGAGTGAGCTTTTAGAATATGGGCGTTATTCTCCACAACCAGGAGCTTATGCTTCACCTAGGTTTGTTTTCACCTAGGTTTGTTTGTGTTTGTGTTTGTGTTTGTGTTTGTGTTTGTGTTTGTGTTTGTGTTTGTGTTTGTGTTTGTGTTTGTGTTTGTGTTTGTGTTTGTGTTTGTGTTTGTGTTTGTGTTTGTGTTTGTGTTTGTGTTTGTGTTTGTGTTTGTGTTTGTGTTTGTGTTTGTGTTTGTGTTTGTGTTTGTGTTTGTGTTTGTGTTTGTGTTTGTGTTTGTGTTTGTGTTTGTGTTTGTGTTTGTGTTTGTGTTTGTGTTTGTGTTTGTGTTTGTGTTTGTGTTTGTGCTTGTGTGTGTGTTTATGTACAGTAGCGTACCTGATAGAAAAGCAGTTAAAGAGTCATTGTTAACCACACTGCATTGTGCGCCCAAACCAGCTTGGCGGCCATTTTAATGGCGGAATAATAGATATGTCGGTTTTCAATCCATAAATATACCATTCTATGGTTATACTTGCTCATTCTAACTTTTTTATACTAAAATTGCACCAAAGAAATGTTTATAATCATCATTTGTTGCTATTTGTCACTTCTGAAGGTAAGATGTAAACAAATGCATTGTGGTTGACAATGACTCTTTAAATTAAATAACTCAGATAACTCATACCTGTTGACCAACTCACGACCTTTGGTGTCCCCGTGTTACCCAAACCGTCCACTGCTTTGACTGTAAACGTGTGTTTCCCATCAGGCAAATTGGGTGTAGTATATATACCACTAGTCCCTCCCCCACAGTTAACGCTCTGACCGTCCAGTGTGCATTGGAATGTTGCTGGTTCATTTGAATCCCATGTAATTATCTGTCTTGGAATGTTCGTTTCACTTGGAGTATTGCTTGTCAGTGAAATAACAGGAGCTTCAGTGTCTAAAAAAGATTTTAAAAGTTTTATATAGCGATGTTTTTCACATGGAAATTCCGAGCAGATGTTACCAAATACATATTTAACACCAATAGTTGTCAATCTTTTCTTCCGAAATTAATAGACAACTTGCATGTTAGACTAATTTTTGATGTAGGCAAAAAAAAAGTAAATTCCCGTAAAGAATTTATTAGAATTAGTAAAATTGCCAAATTTGGTTATGAAATGTTGTAAAATACGGAAAACATAGCCTTGCGAAGTTTGCGTATTTTGTATATGTGTATCACGTGCGGAAATTGTTACCTTTTTTGATCCGAAAATGGTAACAATTTCCGCACGTAATACAAACATATACAAAATTTGCAAACTTTGCCAGACTTATTTCGCAACCAAATTTTGCAATTTTACTAATTTCATTATGTTCTTTTTAGCTGTGGTGTTTGATTCCCTTCTCTTTACTTAGATTAAAATTTAGTCTAGCATGCAAGTTGTGCATTTCAACCAAGAGAATCACTGATGCCTTATAGAATACTTCAAGACTGAACAGTTTTGCGATCACAGTAGGAATTTTGCATAGGTAAAAGTCTACATTTTGAAGAATTTGTAAGAAATGTTTGAGGAAACGGACTGAATGTTTAAAAGCTGAACGCTTCCTTCAAACATTTTTTCCAAATCCTTCAAAACTTGGCTTGACACTGCCCCTACCATAAATTTGAAATATCAGTAAAACAGCTAAGTTCAATTATACTAATACCTGTCACCCAACGGAAGACTCGCGGTCTATGCCTGTTACCCACGTTATCCACAGCGGTCAATTCAAATGTATGACTCCCATCAGGCAAATTGGGGGTAGTATATCGTCCACTAGTTCCATTCCCACAGTCCACAACACGATCGTTGAGTTTGCATTGAAAATCTGCTGGTTCATTTGTGTCCCAAGTGAACGAATATTTTGGATTGCTAGTTTTTGAAGGATTTCTACTGGTCATTGATATAATAGGTGGACGTTGATCTAAAAAGAATTTAAAGGTTTTAATGTCATGCTTATTGTTTTAACCACGGTTTTAAGTGAATGTTGATATAGTGGAGCAGTTGGTGAAAATAATAGAACAATTGACCATTTGCGTAATAGATTAAATTTTGATCTAAACAAGTCTAGACAAAAATTTCATCGCAGCTTG